CCAAACACCTAAAAATGACAGACCGGAAGGGCGATCCAATCTCCGACCGGAAGGCCCCGCAAAGGAGGAACAACGCTCGCTTCCGACTCCGGCCCGCCTCTCCGACCGGAAGGCCTGGCCAAAGAGGAACAGAGCTAGCTTATGACTCCGGCCCGCCTCTCCGACCGGAAGGCCTAACCGAACGCCGCTTCCAAACTCGAACCGCGTCTCCAACCGGGGACGCACCAAACCCCTGCTTATAACTCTTCTCCGACCGACGCAGTCAGAGCCAACTGGGACCAACCGACCGGGGACGCCCGCTCGGTGAGGACCAGGAAATGTACGGAGCAAGTAAGGTAGGACACTCAAGTCAACCGTAAGACCGAGGACCATACCCTGTACATCTACAGAACAGTGCCAACAGGACATATCAGAAAGAGTATCTTGCAACCTTCTAGGTATTTCAGAACAGTGTTGTGGGCGCCGACATTTGTCCTACAGTGTTGTGGGCGCCCGCAACAACTGCCATACCGGACGAGCATAGTAAAACCCTTGCATGCCTCTGGGCATCAGCAGTATGGCAGGCACCGACGCCTGCCATACCAGAAGAAGACGACGCAAACCTCCCACATGCATCTGACATCAACAATGTTAGCGGCGCCTACAATCGTCTTGTACCATACGACGTGGGCAACAAGACTTAGCATACGTACACTCTCTCCCTCTCGCTTGTAAGGCCACCCCCTTTATCTATAAAAGGGGATGTGCTGTCTCCCAACAGATAGATCGATTAGTACACAACAACTCGAACAACACACACAACAGGAGAATCACTAGGTTCAAACCTGGAGCACACGCTCAAACACTTAGCACATAGCGGAGCTCCCGTCACTCTCGACCCTTTAGACTAGAGTCCGCCCGGACCTCTATCACCCCCTATCTTTCTCCCTTCCGTTTGTAACCCCACAGCAAACTTCAAGCACTTGGGCTCAGGAATAAAGTCACCGACCAACTCAAACTGAACGTAGGGCACGTTGCCTCAACCAGTATAAACCCTGTGTCATTGAGTGCTAGACCACCTCCGATCACAACGTACAACAAAACTACAGATATTTACGTGTTGATCACTTTATGCACCGACAGTTGGCGCCGTCCGTGGGGAGGACGCTGTACGTTCACACTTTTTGGTCATCGGATGACCCACTTTTCCACCAGTTTTGCCATGGCGGGCTCAAGCGATACAACTCGCTTTGGCTCGTTGGAGTTTCCAGCACTCCCACCTATTGGGATGCGGGTTCCACCCATCTTCGAGTCGTCCTAGGCCTTTCTTCTTGGAAGCCTGGACTTCGTCGCCGACCGTCGGAGGGGCGCCCTCCATCGGCGCCGGGACACACGATGACTTCAACGACGAGGCGCCTGCGCTTCAATCCGAGCAAATTCTCTGCTCAAACTCCGCTGTGAGTAATTACATATTGTTATTTACTCGATATTTACTATCTCCTGCCGATTATCCGGAGGGACTACATTGTCTGCACCGCGACCACCGTACGACCGGTTCCCCTACGACCTCGCATCCCCCGCGGACACGTGCGCTCGGGGGCTCCGAAGGACGCTGCCCCCTCCCCCTCTCACGTCCGAATTCGTGGGAATGGCGAGCTATGCTCCCACCTGTTTCCTCGACCTCATGGATGATGATGTCGAGAGCGACAGCTCCAGCATCGACGACGTGGCACCTAGCCACCATCTGTCCCGGGAGTGCGCTATGGCGGACGCTCTGGGATAGCCGTCGGTGGTAGCGAAGTTCTTGCAGACTCACACCCCTACGAACCCTCGTGCGGGAGCCCTCGCGCTCGCACAAAAGCATGGCGAGGAGCTACGACAAAGGCGGTAGAACCAGCGCCCGCACGCTCGGCGCATCATGATGTGCCCTGTGCGCGTAACCCGGCGAGCGGCGCCTGAGGTCACGCCCGCCAAGTCCAGCGCGACATCATGGACGGGGGGAATGATCCCCCACAATTCGCTCAGAAATGCTTTGGCGCGACGTTCCCAAGTCCGTCGACCCCCAGGAGCGGGCTGTCCACCGGAACCTCCAGACGCTGGTGGAAGCCGCCGCTGTTCAACAGGCGGAGAGCTCCGCATCGCGGCTCCGACTCGCACCCTCTCTCTCCACCAGGGAGATGGGGACGCACTAGACAGATCGCTCCATCCGCTCCACCACTACATACCGCCTAAGCGGCACAAGAAAGCGCAATTGCGCCATTGTCCGACTGGCGCTTTGCTCCACATCGGCCGCCGGTACGCGAACGGCTCGGTCCGCACCAAGATGCTCGCAGCATCATCAGCAACCGGCATCGCCCCCGGCATGATGATGACGTCCATCGGGCAGCGGCGAGGGCAGGCGACACGGGCCCCGGCCGGACCATCGAGGGGAGTGATGAAACGCGCCCCAGCATGGTCGCCCGACTAGACGACGAGCCCCAGCCAGATGGCGGGACCACGGGCCTTTTGGCGGCGCAGATCCGGAGAGCGCCGTTCCACACGCGCTTCGACCGCCCACCAACATCGCCAAGTACACCGGGAAGACAAACCCCGGTATTCGGCTCGAAGATTTCCGGCTCGCCTGCCGAGCCGGAGGGGTGGATGATGACCATTTCATCATTCAATATCTCCCCATCTGCGTGGGGGGACATGTTCGATCATGGCTTGAATTCCTCTCAGACGACGGCATCCGCGATCGGGCGGATCTCAAGAGGGTCTTCGCCGGAAACTTCCGGGGACGTATGTCCGCCTACGATAACCACGGGACCTCAAGAGCCGCCGGTGAGGAGCTCAATGAGTCCTGCGGGATTACATCCATGAGTTCTCCCAACGATGCAACTCCCTCCCGATGTCGCCGTCGGCGCGACGCGTCATCGGCGCATTCTCTCCGGGACAACTGCGAGTCCACGATCCACAAGCTTGGTGCTGAAGCCCCAAACTACTCTCGACACGCTCGGCGTCGCCATACAAACCACGCCTCCGGCGAGGAGGCAGTCGGAGCAGTCTTCAACGGAGGCTGGGACAAGGGCAAGGCCAAGCGCGAGGACCAAGACGAGGGCCCCTCCACCCAGAGGGCAAAGAAGAACAAGAAGGATCAGCGCCGAACGACCGACTCCGCGTTAGTCGCCGCTTGGTGATCAAGACGGACAAGCGACCCAGCCAGTAGGCCTGTCCGATCACTTCAATAAGCTCATGGATAGCCCATGCACCAACCACGCCTACCCCATCAAACACCTCTACAAGGACTGCGAGCTCCTCAAACATTTTCTGCGACAGGCCGGCGGGCTGAAAGAAGGAGACGACAAAGAGGCGATAGCCAAGAAAGGAGGCGCGACGGGAAAGGACGGGGACAGCTTTCCCGACCCCAAGGAATGCATCATGATCTTCGGGGGATCCGACGCCATCTGCTCCAAGCGCCAGCACAAGGTACGCTACAGAGAGGCATGTGCCGCCGAGACGGTCGTCCCCTCCTTCCTTAGCTGGTCGGAATCTCCGATCACCTTCGATCTGAGGGACCATCCCTCCCACGTTGCCAGACCAGGACGCTACCCGCTTGTCGTCGACCCCATCGTCCGCAAGAAGCGCCTCACCAAGGTCTAGAATGGATATCAATAGAAAATATCTGGCCTGTGAGTGGCCAAGCAGTGCCATGACAAGCAGTGCATGCAAGTGTTCATGAGACTGAGAGGGAACTTTATGCTCTGTTCGGCTGGTATTAAAGCTGACTGATAAGCCGACCTTGACTGATTTGTTGTGAGAGAAAAATACTGTAGATTCTAGCTGATAAGCCGGCTGCCATGTACTATATGGGTAGGTTTTCGTATAGACTACTATATGGCTTCTTCCACGGTGATTATGGGCAACCTAACTAGCCGAGTAATGCTTAGTTTGTATCATGAGTACTTTTATGATATCGTAGGTACTGTTTTTCTTCTTTTCTTTCACATTGTGGACATTGAAGATTGTCGTCTATGTCACTGGCAACCACTGGCAATTCTGGGGCATCCCACTATCCCAGGTTTGGTAAAAAAAATAGTTTATGTGATGTACTTTACCTATTACTGATTATTGGGTGGTACGTCATAGGGAGTTTGTAACAAAAAGTATGCGAATGTGCGGTAGTAGTAGAATATTACCGTTTATTTTTACTTAGAAACATCTACTTCCCCACTCACTAAATTACCTTTTTTTTATTTACGGAAGAGAATTTTAACGTTGTAGGAATATGAACAACACATTTCTTTGGTATTGGACGAACGGACGAGTTTACAATGGCCGCATTATAGGAATTGGACATTTCTTTAGTATATTGGACGAGTTTAGGATGGCCGAACGTTATAGGCTTATAGCCTTATAGGAACAGCACGTTTCTTTAGTACTGTATTGGACAAATGGTATGGCCGAATTCCAAGGCGTTATTTTTTTTTAATCTCGCCAATGTTGCATTTTCATGCCCGTCTGTCGGTTCACTCCAGCGGTTCGTGCTGGACCTTGGCCCATTGCTGACGCTTACGTACGAGGGAGTTGACAACTGAAACTCCAAGATGAACAACTTCTGATCGCTACAAGGCGATTGTTAGGGGGAAGGTTGCTTCGTTCTCAGGTGCAGGAAGACGACTCCACATGATACCGATAGCCAGATGCTAGCCATTCACATACACTTGTCTTTTCCAATAGAAGAACTGTCCGTGAAAACTGAAAATTGCATTGGCACAAATTATCAAAACCCGACATACAATCGTGTCGTAACTGTCCGTGAGAAATTACAAACCGTTGCGGACGACGGTACAGGAATCGTCCTGCTGTGGCAAAACTAGCTCGTTATTCATTTTCAGAGGAACCAGGACTGTGAATCTACTACTTAAAGCTCGCACGTTATGTGTTGCTGCAGCATCACCTACACACCGCAGTAATCAAATCCACCAGAAATAACAGCACCTCCAGCCTACTCCACAATGCTGCTCTGTTCCAGAATTCTACATCTACATTTGGTCCCAGTCAATAGAACCGTTGTTCTCAAAATTATACGAAGGTTGCTGCAGACGATTGCGGCCCAATCTGCTCATCGTGGCGAGGCCTGAAAGATACATACAAATTGAGTCAAAGAAAAAATCACAACAAAGCTACCTGTTGATAAGCAGGGCAACTGTTTTTTCCCCCAGATTTGATTGCTAGTTCGGATCACATACAGCTGAGAAACAAAGTAGACTGGCAAGGCATATAGAAGACAAATTTCATAGAATTGTGGAATGAGATATAAATGCAGATAAGGGTAGACGTGTTTGTTAATTTCTAATTGGTGTTTACTGAAGACTGATCCTATCCAAAACATCACTCATTTGTGAGTGACTTGAGGGAGTATTACTTAGGTCAGTTAGCATTATCATTCTTGCACACATTACACACAGGCCAAAGCATGATTGAAAGAGAGCTGCCAAAGCTACTCAGAAAAAAAAGTGACTTGAACCAACCATACCTTCGATCACTTTGTAAAGTGAAGACCACCATCGATCAGCTGGGACCTGATACTGAGTTAGAGATTCATCGATTTCAGTATTGTGCTTCCCTTCTAGTACGCTTTGCAGAGTGATTACAGCATCCTTTGTTCTCCTCAGAATATTATTTCCCTCTGCAGCTTCTAGTGAAAGGAGGTCACTATGTGATGATGTGAGGCTTCTAGCAAGCGCAAACTGGGCAGCTTCAGCCCACCGGTTAGATGCAACCCATCTCCTTTGGATATCTTGCAGCTTGATTTCTTCCCTCCGGGACCTCTCTTCTCCACTTCCAAATACAAGACTCTGTTGACCATTTTTCATTCACAAAGAAAGATGAATTAGCAAACTTCTGAAGCCACGATGTATGGTGCAGATTAGCACAGATGGGCATGACAGGATTGCAAGCAGACATGAAATAGTCCTTGTCACTGTGACTGCATGGCAAGATTAGAATAGATTCAGTACTCGATGCAAATTACCTTGAGGTATTCTGAGTTGCTAGGTCCTGTACTTTGCACCATCTTGGAGAAAGCACTCTCCTCATTGCTTAGAAGATTCTCAGGAGAGTCAAATTCCAGAACCTGAAACACAACATTACAAGACTTAATTCCCAACAAATATGAAGTTGGGACAAAGTGTGAAGTAATTTTGATTTAGGTATTATCTATTTATAGGAATGACTACTTCAAAGTTACCTCACTGGTGAAAATATCACGATTAATGCTACACAACAAACATAAAGACCCATACAACATGAATGAGACATGACAAAGAACACTCTGAGTGATACATAGCTTCTTTAGTCTTGATTCTAGTCTTATGAAAACCTAAGAACTAGTTCACCATGGTCAAATTTAGTATTTGTTCAGACAGATACAGAAAAAAACATTAATACGGCCTAAAGAACTGTTATCCGTAAGAGACACTGAAAGTACTGTAACTTAGAAACATACAATAATCAGCACATGACATGAAAATGTTAGCATACAGCTATTATAAGAATCAAGCAGAACAAATGAAGACAAAAGGTTAGAACATACCTGCCCAGCACTTAGAATAAGCAACCTGTCACAGTCAATGACAGTGTTCAAACGGTGGGCAATTATGAGCATTGTGCAACTTTTGAATTCTTCTCGGATTGTTTTCTGAATAAGAGCATCAGTCCGCACGTCAACTGCTGCTGTTGCCTCATCAAGAACGAGTATCTTTGCTCTTCTTAGCAACGCACGGGATAAGCTCAACAGTTGCCGTTGTCCAACACTGAAATTTTCACCAGCTTCAGAGACCTGTGTCAATAAAGTGAAACTCAAGTTACAGAAAACTTTCTAAACCCCAAAAGAGAGAGAGAGAGAAAAAAGCTAAGCTAGCTCAGTTGGTCAAGGGTGTGGATGTATGCCCAGACCACCGAGATTCAAGTCCTCGTCAAGGCGAATTAGGATGCCTATTTTCTTCTAAATAAAATGCCACATAGTTCCTCCAGGTTGGTCTAGTTTTTTCTAAACCCCAAAAGGAACCTAAAAAATCTCTAATACAAATCTAATGACTGAATTTAGGATTGTTTTCTATAGGACTAAAACACAATTATATTGTTTAGTGATTCCTCCTGACATTACAAAACAAAGTCCTTCGACATCACTCGTAAAATACTGATAATTAAAGTATACCAAATGCTAACACATGTCTGACTTAAGAGTCTCACTGAAGACTAACTTGCATTTCGTAAGAAAAAAGTGGAATATTTTTTTTTCTCGAAAACGCAGGAGAGCTGCGCTTCATTAAATTAAGAAGAGAATAAAGGGCAAGAGCCCAAACAACACCTTACACACCACACACACACGCACACACCCCAGTTTCTAGGATTACACTCGCGTCGTTGACATAAACACACAAGACGACCACTACTGAGTTAGACACTCTAACTACATTTGTACAAGCATATACATATACCATTTGTAAAATAAAATGACAACCGAGAATCAATAGTCATGAACTTCCATGAATAAAATCATGAAAATTGCATACCTCAGCATCTAATCCTAAAGGATTCCTCCTTATAACATCTTTTAGATGAGCCCTTTCCAGAGCCTCCCAGAGATCCACATCATTGTGCTCGTTAAAGGGATCCAGATTAAACCGAACAGAACCTGAAAGGGCATTAATAAACATTTGCCACAAAAGAAGAGCTAGAAAACACAAGTTACAAAAAAAAAAAGAAGCTCTAGCAGCTAACATGTACTCCCTCCATCCCAAATTATAAGTCATTCCAACAATTTTGGAGAGTCAAAGCATCTCAAGTTTGACCAGATTTATACGATAAGATAATAACATTTATGATACCAAGTATCATTAGATTCTTCATTAATTATATTTTTATCGTATACCTGTTTGATGTTCTAAATCTTTGTAATTCTCTCAATAATTTCGGTTAATCTTGAGATGCTTTGACTCTCCAAGATTCTTGGAATGACTTATAATTTAGAATTGAGGGAGTATTTTTCACTGTCATACCTGAGAATAGAACTGGTGCCTGTGGTATTATTCCTAGAACTTTGCGCAGGTCCCAAATTCCAAACTTAGAAGTGTCACAATCATCAATTAATATTCTCCCTCGTTCAAGCTCCACAATACGGAATAAAGCATTAAGCATGCTAGATTTACCAGCACCTGTTCTGCCAACTATTCCTACCTTCTCACTTCCATTAATAACAAAAGATATGCCATGAAGAACAGGAGGAAGTTCTGGTCGATATCGAAGCACGACGTCTTCAAACTTGATGACACCTGATGATGGCCAACCAGGGGGTGCCCTATGATCCTCAATGACAGGAGGAGCTTCTGAAGGTAACTCAATGTATGTTCCGACCCGTTCAACAGCATTTAAACTATTTTCAGCAAGACTAGCGAGACGAAGAACAGCTGTGAGTAAATTGGTAATATTGAGAGTGTAAGTAAGAAGAAGACCCATTGTAGAAGCAAAGGCCTTCTGATTCTCTGCTCGTTGATTTTGCATGACAGCAAAAGTTGCTGTAAACCATATCATGATGCCACCCAATGTTTCCAGACGAATAGCTAGCCACCTATTTGCACTCATGTTCACAAGTGTGAACCTAATGTTGTTGTCCATTGATCTCCCGTTGATGTTTGCCATTCTATCATAGGCTTTATAGGCACGGATTGTGGACAGACCATTCAAAGCCTCTGAAAACTGAGCATACACAGGAGACCTGGTAATGGAATCCAGACGCTTCACCTCGCGAGATGTTGCCTGAGAAGATGGAAATACAAAGTGTCAACAAAGGCAAAAAGTAACGATAGATTCATCTATAAGACTGAAAGAATGAGGGAAGTAGGCGTATGAAAACTTTTCCTTTTATAAATGCCTGACTGGTCTAATCAATATTAATCTGTGCAACTTGTTTCATGCAATACTAGTAGATGGGATGAAATTATTTGGTTTTGTGGTGACTGACAGCTTATTTCTGGGTGAGATGTAACTTGGGTTTTTAGTCATTCCCATGTGGATGTCATGGTGGTGCTTAATACAAACTTTGATTTTAGCGATGTAGTTTTTGGTTGTCATACCTGGTAATAGAGGTAAGCTGCATAAAACAAAATCAGGAGTGGCATGATAGCCCAAAGAGACATGGTGCTGACAAAACCGATGAGAACGAAAGTTGAGAGCAACTGAGATATTTGTGCCATAAACATATTGACAAATACAGCAACACTTCGGTCAATGTCACCCAAATCCTTCGAAAACCTGTTGATGATCCGTCCAAGTGGGTTTGTATGAAAAAATACCATGGGTGCTCTCAATATTGATCGGAGCATGGCATCATGAAGCCTTTTGGCTGCCCGAAGACTTGATATAATCAACCAGTATGAATTTGAGAGAGTGACTAGAACCTAAACCAAAAGTTCCACTTGATTAACTCAAAATCCCATTAATCATTGACACAAAAGAGGGTGCAAAATATTGAATAAGTAAACAATGGGTAGAAATACCTGCCCAAATGAAAGAATCCCATAGATCAAATTATAGTAACCAGGGCCATGAATTTTCAGAGAACCCTGATCAGTCCAAACGCTCAACCATGTGCTACTTGAAATGCGAAGAACTTCAGTCAGTGCATAGCAGAAGAAGAGTATGGACACCACCCACATCCCTCCCAGTGCATTTTTGTAACTGCGAAGATCAGACCACAATACTCAGAAATCATGCTTTATATTATATACACCTCAAAGGATTAAGGACAATCACAGAATATTCTCTTACCGTGAAAGGACCTTCGCACTGACAACCCCAGTTTCCCTTTCCTCTTGTTTAATAAGCACAGATTTTCCTGGTTTTGTTTTACTAGAACTATCCTGGCTCTTCTGTGAACCTTCATCAGCTATTATAACATCCCCATTTTCAGTTTGTTTTGCAACATCCTTTGGTTTACTTTCATCCTCTTCCACCTGTTCCTCCATTTTTCCAGCATTTTCCATGAGCTTCTTGAAGAGCTCCCCACTGTTGCTAAGTTCATCAAAAGTACCCTCCTCTTTAATTACACCATCATGAATTAGCAGTATTTTATCAACATATGGCAGAAAATGCAGCTGATTGGTAACAAGAACCCGGGTTTTATGCTGTAGTTCCCCTTTGATACATTTATCAAATACCTGCACATGTACTAATATCAATGATAATAGTCGGCAAGAGTAAAAAAAAAATCAAACAACGAAGGAGAGCTGCGTATCATTTCATTTAAGGAAGAAGAAATAATAGTATAATACAAAGGAGAGGCTAAAGAAGCATCTCCCAACACACTGGACACACACACCGGGCAAAAAAGTTCAGGCGTGACACTCTGAAGAAAAAACATAACCTCTAACTACTCAAGACTACTAAGATTCTAGAGCTCAACCTCAGGAGTAAAATAAGAATAAAGAAAAAATAGGAAAAGAACACAATGCAGAAAGCCTAAATATTTATTACAGCAGAAACCTAAATTGCAATCACTAATCCCAGACAGTGCAACACATTAAGACCATATGATTATTACATGATGTGTGATACATGAAATATCCACAGAAAGCCATTTGAGATAAGTTGTATAAACTATGAATCAAGTAATTAATGTGAATGATGAATCTATTATGTATTGTCAGGCAGCAATACATCGGTGTTTGTTGATATTACTTTATACTTTTCAGTTTGCACAAGTCCATGTGTCAATGAGCATAACTAAGTTGTTATTAATATCTGGGTTCTAGGTGGCAAGAGTTAATTTTTATCCTGTTATCCTGTCCAGACTAGTCTCCATGCCTCCTAAGGTGAAGAGAACCTAATAATAAGGATCAGAACATTGTCGATGATTTGTCCTTTTCAGTATGTGAGTATAGATCATAAAAATAGAAAGCACAAACAAGATGGTGAATGCACCTGACGGCCAACATGGGCATCTAATGCACTGAGTGGATCATCAAATATGTACACATCTGAATCAGAATACACAGCTCTTGCCATTGAAACTCTTTGCTTCTGCCCTCCACTAATATTAACTCCTCTTTCACCAATCTCTGTCAGATCGCCTCCCTGATAGCAAGCATAATCAAATCCAATATTTGTTAATGTGCAGTGGCAAATTAAAACACCATGCACCAGTATTAGAAAAATACAAAGGCATCACTGGATTATAACATGCCAAATGAAGGAACATGTTCTCCAGGAAGCTCTTTCTTCGTCAAATGGATGCCATAATTTTCCAAAATTTCCATCTGAACATTGAAGATGGAATACTTGTATTTAGAACTTACTGGGAGTAGGTCAAGGTCATGCCGCAATGAAGTGACATCAATCGCTTTCTCATAGCGTGGGGGTTGAAAGGGAGACCCAAACAAAATATTGTCCCGTACCTGTGGGGTCACGGTTAGATCTGTGCAGAAGTTATATATGGTTTGATTTGACACAACAAAGCAGCAGAGAATCTCACGGTAGCATTGAAGATCCAGGAAACTTGAGGAACGTAAGCCACCGATCCACGAATGACCACTGAGGTACCTGATCCAGATACTGGTGGTATTTCTCCAAGCATTGCAGATATGAGAGAAGTTTTACCCTCACCAGTGCTTCCAACTATTGCAACTAAACTTCCAACAGGTACATCCAGATTTACATTTGATAAAGTTGGTCTCTGAGCCTGCCAACATTCAAAATTTTGGTTTTTAATATGCGTCTTAAAATCAGATGAAGTTCACATTGATAGCTTTAGACTCATATTGGCAAAAAGGATTTTGATATAAGACTATAAGGGGCAATGAGAGTAGCAACTTGAGTCCTATGATCAACTAGGAAGACATCAACATATGTCATCTTCTTTTAGCTATCTTACAACATGGGCTATTTGGTAATAAGTTTCTATCTCTAGTCCTGATTACTCCTGCCCATGGAGCATGATAGCCTATAAATACTTTGATTCACTGTCCATTTCAGACCTACCTGAAGAGAGTTGTGCTAATGACATATTTTTCAATATCTGATGGCTAGAGAATCAGGGGACAAGAAATCAACTACCATAAATCCTAAGGGCAGCAATTCGAAGAGTGAAGAATAAATAAATGAAAGTGGCAAGTAAATAAAAATATATGAAACATGAATTTACTACCTCTGATTCCCATGAAAAATACCCATTCTTGATAGAAATGGCTGGAAGATCAGGATCAATAGGTGGATTTGGCAGAAGTAATCTGTCTTCAGCCAACAGGAGATCTTCTAGACGCTTCAATGACACCTTACAATTAACCACCTGTTGAATTTAAAAAGAAAAGCAATACTGTTAAGAAACTGTGAGTACCAAACATCACTGTTGAAGGAAAAACAACACAGAAAATCAAGCCGTCAATGGTTAGAATCAAAATCCCAGACAAAAATTTTGCCGGATAAATTTTCTAAGCCAAAAATTGAAAAATATTTAGCGCTTAACTTTTTTAAGCCAAATGAAAGCAGAACAAAGGGAAAACAATTATCAAAGGACATAAGAAGCTACTTTATATAGAAATAGAAATGCTGTGTAACTTCCAAGTAGCTTTACAGATAATTTAATAAAAGGAAAACAAGACAGTGTCATACATACCTGAGTTATCAGATTTGGGAGCATGAAAAGTGGGAACCTTAAGACTGCAAATAATGAAAGAGAAGTAAACGCCTTTGCTGGTGTCAAATCACCTCCCAGTAGAGAATATACACCAAATGAAACAACAGTGACAACGACCGGTATACTGTTCAGGATAAAGCTATTCAGCTGCAACAAGCAAGAAAAATGATAAATAGTGCAAACTTGAGTTTAATTTTGAAAGCACATACATGGTGCACGACAGAACTTCGCACAAGTCATCTTATGTACAAAAACATCAATCTTGGAATTATTGCAAAACTAAAGGAGTATACCGCAGCAAGCAACTGAGCCCTGCGGAACCAAGAAAGTTCATCATCGCGGATGTCCTGCACCTTTGACTGGAAACTTTGCTCCCAAGCATAGCACCTAACAATGAAGTTTTTGGAAGTTGGAACAGTTATAACCAAAACTAAATGTTACTAATCGTGATAACAAAAAAGTGAATATAACATACTTGACCGTATCCATGGCAGCTAATACTTCATTCATGAGACTGATTCGCTTGTCGGTCCTTTGCAACCCCTCCTTAGTAAGTTTTTGCATTTTGCTGATGATTACTGTCTGAAAAATTAAATACAAATAGATTAACCAGGCAAATCTATGTTGAAAGCTAAAAGCAGTAAACTTAAAGAAACTTCACAAACCACAACTTATTTGACAGAGATGTGTCAAAATTTACAAATAGATTGTCCTGAAGATGCTACAACAACAAACTGACCCCACAATCTGTGTTATCAACCTTGACTGGAAAAACACAGGCCGTTAAATGAACAGATACATCATAAAGCTTTTAAAATTTTAGTTCCAGCCTTCCAGGACCACTTCATCTATATGAAGTGTGAAATAACTACTCCCTCCATTCCAAGTTATAAGATGTTTTGGCTTTTTTAGATACATAGCTTTTGCTATGCACTTAGATCTAGATACATAGTAAAAGCAATTGTATCTAGAAAAGCCAAAACGTCTTATAATTTGGAATTTCATGCCCGGAAGGTCAACCATAGAAGCAATTTTCTTAATAAGACAAGTTATGGAGCGGTATAGGGAGAAGAAGGACCTACACATGGTTTTTATTGACTTGGAGAAGGCTTATGATAAAATACCAAGGAATGTTATGTGGTGGGCTTTGGACAAACATAAAGTCCCAACGAAGTACGTCGGGCTCATTAAGGACATGTATAACAATGTTGTGACTAGTGTTCGAACAAGTGATGGAGACACGGATAACTTTCCGATTAGGATAGGACTACATCAAGGGTCAGCTTTGAGCCCTTATCTGTTTGCCTTAGTGATGGATGAGGTCACAAGAGACATACAAGGGGACATCCCTTGGTGTACGCTTTTCGCGGACGATGTAGTGCTAGTTGATGAAAACCGGACAGGAGTGAATCAAAAACTGGAGTTATGGCAGGAGACTTTGGAGTCCAAAGGTTTTAGACTCAGTAGAACTAAAACTGGGTATATGAGATGTGACTTCGGCACTACTACTCGGGAGGAGAAAGATATTAGCTTGGAAGGTCAAGTAGTGCCTAGGAAGAATACCTTTCGATATTTAAGATCAATGCTACAGAGAGACGGGGATATTGATGAAGATGTTAGCCATAGAATCAAAGCAGGGTGGATGAAGTGGCGCCAAGCATCTGGTGTCCTATGTGACAAAAGGGTACAACAGAAACTAAAAGGCAAGTTTTATAGGACGGCGATTAGACCTGCTATGTTGTATGGTGCAGAATGTTGGCCTACGAAAAGACGACATGTTCAACAGATAAGTGTCGCGGAAATGCATATGTTGCGTTGGATTTGCGGTCATACAAGAAGGGATCGAGTTCGGAACGATGATATACGTGATAGATTAGGGGTAGCACCAATTGAAGAAAAGCTTGTCCAACACCAGTTGAGATGGTTTGGACATGTCCAACGGAGACCTCCAGAGGCACCGGTGCGTAGTGGAATCCTAAGCCAGGTTAGTAACGCGAAGAGAGGCAGAGGAAGACCGAAGTTGACTTGGGTAGAGGCAATAAAAGGAGACTTGAAATGATGGAATATACCCAAAGACTTTAGATAGGAGTGCTTGGAAAACAGCTATTCACGTGCCTGAACCTTGATTGCTTCTGCTGGGTTTCAACTCTAGTTGTTTGGGACTTAAAGGCTTTGTTGTTGTTGTTGTTGTTGAGGAGAGAGTACTTAACAACTAAATTTCCGGCTATTTATTTTTGACATACAGAGACTATAACCAGTGGTTCTTCCTAGAAATCCCAACATATTAACAGATAAATTCTAATTGATATTTCTAAATAGGAGCTGAACAAAGTCATAAGGATTGCTAAGAAAACATACATGCTGATTGCTGACAGCACGAATAGGTGCAAGCCAAAAGGGACTACAATATCAACAGATGAATCAAAATTTCACAACTGCATGATTACAGTAAGGCTCCTATATCAACCCCAATGTCCTCAAGGATTTGTACATAGCGAACATCTTTTCTCTAGCAAATGTAGAAGCCAATTCACTAGTAACATTGGAACTATCACTAAAACAGACGGTGTAGACACATTTAGATATGCAATGCCAGAAATTCCAGGAATGCATATTGACAAAGAGAAATGTACCTGAATTGGAAACAAAAGAACCAGCATAAGTGCACCGACTAATGCTGCAGGACCAAGCTGTGCATATAGAAGGACCATGGAAATAACAATGCGGAAAGGAGCAGACCATAGGCTGTGAAGCTGCTGGCACACTTGCTGCAAAGGTACAAATCTAAATTAGAAGGGTGCAAAATAGAAAGCCATAAATGGCCAGCATGCATGGCATCCACACATGGTACTTTCTCCTTCCTTCAGTCCTTCCATCCTTTGTAACATTGAGCCAGTCTAACACAAAAATATACCTGAAGGGACTCCGCATCAGTTGAAATCAAATTGGTAATCCTCCCAGAAGCAAACTTTCTACGACTCTCATTAGTTAGTCGCAAAGACTTGCGGAAAACAGCTGCAATCTGTACAAGAACAAAAGGTCAGATTTCGATGAAAACTTTGATGACTGTAGCTAAAAGAAGAATACAAAACCTTTAACGTAGAAACCTAATAGCAGGTCTGTATTCTAGATGCTAAAGATGAATTCACATTAAACTAATATCATTACCAACAAAACCAGGTCTATTCTATGATGTTAAGGGGGAATTTGCAAAAACACTCTCAGTTATGTCATTAAGTTCCCTACCACAATCTGCTTGGACTAAAAGGCTTTGTAGGGAATCCACATGTTATCACAAATCAGGAATTGTGATCCCCAAGCCAACCTAAATAAAAGTAAGAGTGGTCTCAAACAAGATATTTCAATTTTCAAGGATGCCTGTTTACTGTACAACCTCTTACAGAAGGACAATAAAAGTTCATATAAAAGAAAGGATCCTAAAAGAAACACATACCAATGTGGACCTCAACCTGAAACCCACACGCATGACGTTCTGAAAGTACTGTGCCTCAGCAAGAACCCCAAGTGACTGAAAAATGAAAAGAGTCGTAAGTACTATAATTGTTCGTTCAACTACACCGAAACAACAAAGAAATGTGGTGCACAACATGCAGGAAACAAAAATGATCCATACCACTCCTGCAAAGATCGAGAAAGCATAGATGTACCCGCTCCAAGACGGATCGCCTTTTTGCATAGACTGTCAAAAAGAAAAAGAAAAAGAAAAAGAAAGTTTGTTGGTGCAAAGAGCAAAATAAAGGTGCGCTAAGATATGCATAATCACACATTCTGTTCTAGAATCAATATGTTGGGGGGGGAAGAAATTCATGGAATGAGAAGGCATACCTCTAACAACAGGTTCAATAATAAGGGGACCAACAAATTGAGAAGCGTCATTGCCAATCTACAAAGTTGAGAGCGAAAAAAGATGAGCTGCTGAGAATATCACAAAAGTATTGAAAGGAAACTACAGGGCACATCATCTAAAGAAAATGTACCTTGAAAAACCCACCCAGCCAGAACCTGAAAATGAAAATAACTAATCACTATAGGCAGAAACATCAAATCAGATGTATAAGTATCGGGTGTCGAATGTGCATACCTTCCCCAAAGACTACTATGAAGAGCTCGTAACAGCCAAGGTTTTGGTTTTCGAAGTTCATCATTCCAGCAATTCTGGAATCTGAGATAGGATTGCCGCGTTAAGATTTGCAGGCTCAAGTATTTGACATTTTAACAAGGAAAATGAAAAAAAAAACATACTGGCTATACAAAGTTTCAGTCTCGTCCCAGCTGTCCAATTTCCAGATATCCTTATCTGTAATGGGCCTTCTAAATCCTTGTTGCATTAGAGGAGTCATCCATGAAAAGAATATTCCTAGCAAAGTCACAAGATAGCAAAATCTGTCATTATTTGAACAGTGATAGAAAGTTAATTGTGTGCATATATGATAGTGCGCAACAACTTCTAATCACTTACTGGCAAATATGTTGGCATGTCTCTCAGGGCAAATCTGCTCACCGCCGGGAAGAGGTTCATAATCAGTATTATCAATCAGCACCTCATTCCTGATCGGGGTATAACCCGGATATGGATCCACGCTAGGCAGATAAACCACCATGAGAATTCCAAACAAGAACTGTAGAAAATAAAGGTTCAGTATGAGAGTACTGAGTGCTAATAAAAATATGGTTATTGGACACTAGAAATGAAGATGCAGACCTGGCATGCAATCTCACTGCAGTATAGGTAAAAGATTGAACTGAATACGAAAAATATCAAAGTTAGCCAATATTAAAAGTGCTAACATGACAAAAGAGTAGGGTCACGACCAATAAAGGTCCCATCAAGAAAATAAATGTTACAGATGTAGTGTACCTTGAACTGTAGAACTGCCTCACCGAGAGCACAAGATTGAACATAGCAGCTTCACCAACCATCACGTAAATGACCACAAACCGAATGTACCATCTGAACTCATTGATGTAAATTCTTGTCTCGAGCAGAATCATCATAAGCATACAGCACCAAGCAGCAGACTCAATGATCAATGAGACAATCTGTAGAAATGCAGATTTTTAAATGACCCAAGGGGACAAAAATTACAAAAATATGTAAAAAGTAAAGGTTAGATCATATTTTACATAATTTTATAACTAAGGAACTGTTCACTTGAGTTATGGTTATATACTCTATCAGCATTTTCTGCACATTGCAAGTTAACTCTAGTTATAGTGGTAACAAAATCAAGGAGAAAATTAGGTCCCTGCCATCATAATATGTACAAATTGGAAACTACTGTCCGATATGACGATGACATGAGCAAGGGCCAAGGGCACACATTCAAATTACTTGGATGGTATTTTCCAACTTGGCAATCTTTACAATGGGGCTGAGAAGTACCACCAAAGAAAAGATATACTTCCTGTACTTGTCAGAATGAATATAAAAAGCAATAATTTCTGCAAATCACATAAAGTACTTCCTACAATCTAGTGATCATACTGGCACTATGCAAACATACTTGTACGGGGGCAATAGCATATCAGCATATGGATTCAGCAGAACTTGATAACAATGTCATGTAGATCCTTCTCACCTCAAATGGAGGAAGGCCAGTCTGCCCATCCAAGTTCATGATGGAGGTACCAGTGGCAATCCGATAAAGCAGCTCTGCTATGCAGTACACCACAAGTAGTCCAAGCAGGTAGTTGTAGTATGGTGAACGTAACTTGTACCGCTGCACTGTGTAGTCCCTCGTCGTCCTCCATATACGATAGAAGCAAACGCCAAAGAGTGCGAGGTATGAGATGCAGACCACCAGGGTGTCAGTGCCACACGGAGTGTAGGCGCCGAACGCATTCTCCACCACAAGCGACCACACACCATTCTTGACCGGCTGGCAGTACCACTCCAGTGGGTCGAACCCCATCTCACTCCCTCCACTTACCAACCCTGTTCTTCAATCAGTTCTGATGTTCTCCTGAATTCAAGAATTAAACCAATGAAATAAGAGATAATCCAGATAATGAGCACTGTCATTCACACCAACCTAACAGGAAACTTATCTACTAACCCAAAAATGAATTAGAACAAACACTTCGGTTTCTAAGTACTCTGATGCAGATAATTTCACCAAATGAAGGTATACACAGAAGCAGACTTTCCGAGGGACGACGGCATGGAGATTCAGTTGATGCCCACAAAAAAATAAAAATAAAAATAAACTGGACCCAGCTTAATAATTGGGTACGAGTGCGGCTCAACAAAAATCGACCAGCATACTGAAGAAGTGAAGAATCATCACCTCATCAAGTCAAGGATGGATAGGGAACCACAGCACGAAACACACGAATCCAAAACTAACTAAATGGACCGAGAGAACACATCCAACCAAGGCCATAATCACTTGCCAGTTGCAAGCCGAAGGAGATGCCAATCCACGAGCGGGTGGATCTCCACGCAACTGCACCCTATACTATTCTGACGAACGAGCGGTGCTGCGGCGGCGGCAGCGGAAGCGGCGTCACATGCCCACTCCACTAGTCCACTAAGACACGCCAGGCACGAAAAGGGCAAACGGCGATATTAACAACGAGGCTTTATCATCTCGACAGAATCGAGAATCCGCGCCCGTGAATGGTCCATCCTCGCGAGATCCTCCGCAGAGGCTACCACACAATATGCGGGAAAGGGAAACTCGCCCGCAACAACTTTCCCGGTAAAACTTCGGTTTATCTCTTGCGCGCTCGAGGTCGCCCAACGAGAGCCACCCAAACCGACAGGGGCTGCGCGACAAGGCATCGAAATCAGAGGAAGTGAGGAACACACGCCGCGGAAGAGCCCATAGCATGGCTCGCAATCGGGAGGATCCACGGGCGGGACGGAGCGCTCACCTCGGCGGCGGATGAACCGAAGGAGAGGCGGTGGCGGAGGCGGAGGCGGAGACGAAGCGTCAGCATCCCACGCCGTGGCGGGCACAGGGCACCACGCTCCTGGCCTTCGTGGGAAGGACGAAAGAGCGGAGGAAGTGGTTAGAGAATACTGGTACTCCTAATGAGATTTATTTATGGGTTTGGATTTGAAGGCGCCGGCGCTTGGGCCTTGGGCGGACTGTAATTGGATTCTTCAAGCAACTCCTTTTTTATTTTTTATTTATCATTAGGGCCTTGTTTAGATACCCTTAAAATTCCAAGTTTTTTCACTCTCTCTTCATCACATCAATTTTTAGCCGTTTGCATGGAGCATTAAATGTAGATAAAAAAAAATAACTAATTGCACAGTTTAGTTGGAAATCACAAGATGAATCTTTTGAGCTTATTTGGTCCACGATCGGACAATATTTGCCAAATAAGACGAAAGTGCTACTATTTATCGGGTTGAAATTTTTTTCAATCTAAACAAGGTCCAGGAGAGAAAAATGTAGTAGTACCTACACTGCTTGGCCCTTGTTTAGTTACCCCAGAATCTAAATTTTGGCACTATGTAAAAAGAAGATTCCCTGTCACATTAAACTTACGGTACATGTATGGAGTACTAAATGTTGACGAAATCAAAAACTAATTACACAGTTTGGTTGTACTTTACGAGACGAACGTTTTGAGCCTAATTAATTAATAATTAAATAATTATTATCAAATACAAACAAAATAATACAGTGCACTACCGTGCCGGAACCGTGCCGAAGAATTCCGGCGGCGCCGGTTGTGCGAGGAACTAAACGCGGCCTTGGCTGGTTTCGTCAGTGGAGATGGTGGCTGCTGCCCGCAGCCGCTTGCCTTTTTGTGTTTGACTTTGGACCACACACAGATCATTGGCTGATTATGATATTGTGGGCATATCACCTTTGGATATTTACGTGGAGGTCTAACGAATTCTGGCTTGTAGTGGTAGGTAGAAAGCCTCACGGAATGGAGCCGGTTGTGCTACCCTCCGATGCTTCCCCGCGGCTGACTCATACAGGTTTACTGTCAAGCATTTACTCCGCAAAACAAAATAATGCCCCGTTCGCTTCGCTGAAAAAACAAACCGAAATACTGTCCCGACTGATTTATTGTGAGAGAAAAATACTGTTCCGACTAAAAAAACAAGCTGAATAAGACAAATTATAAGAGAAGCGAACAGAACCAATACTCTTTCTAAGCAGCATTCGATCTTTTTAGGCCTACCTCGGTTCCATAAGTGAAAATATTTAACCACCAGATTAAATTATAAGATATAAGGTCCTCCTAAAATATGTCATAAAAAGACGAGATTTAGTCAAACATTTACCCTGTTCGCTTGTTGGTTTCAGCCAGCCTAAACCAGTCAGCCAACAGTATTTTTCTCTTACAACAAACCAGCACCGGTCAGCACAAACCAACCCAGAAATCAACCAGCGAATAGGCCGATTAGCATCTACAAAACATCTTTTTTAACTTATTTAGTAGAATAGAAACATATGAGTTATATGTGTAGGTTTGTACTCAAAATACTTACAAAATTTTATAAATTTGAAGGATTTAAAAATGAATTTACATCAAAAAATAGAGGACCACCAAACTAAATATAACAAGTTTTTTTGAACAGTACAAGATATTTCTATGGCATGTCCTACGAGACTATAACTCTATGTTCGACAGTGGAGAAGAGGATAATAAAAAGTGGGACGCTACATGATTTTTTTATATTATAAAGCTCATGACATCATTGACCTTTTGTTTTATTCATTCCATATTTATCCTGGCTTATACTAATTTATTGTAAAAGAAAAACATTGGCTAATAATTCGAACCGATAAGTTCAATGGGACGCCAGTCTAGTTATTGTTGACGAGTACCGCAGCCCTTCTTTTTTTCTTTATCTTTAATAAAAATAATAATAAAAGGAGTAGCGCTGCTCTCAAATCCTGTAATGGCTGATGCAGTGATCCGGCGTCCGTAGTTCCACTTCTCTACCGTTCCGATTTAAAAATGGAGTGGTCTCGGTTTCCCTTTCGCGACCACAAGCCACATTCGGTGGCGTCATGAACAAAAAATATACTACAAGAAAGACAAAGAAAAGATCTATCGCGAGGCCCACTGCTTTGCCGGAACAGGGTCGTTTCGTTCTGGTGTGCAGTAGCACGACACGAGTTCTTCAACTTGACCGTACTCCTATGGAGTATGTATTGCAGCAGAATAGCACTGTTAGTAACTTTTGGTTTTCTTTTTGACGGAAATTAACGTAGGTGAAGGTGGACAGAATGGTCGGGGGTAATTGAGAAGATGGGACGAGAATTTGAATATAGCCGTTTTTTTGGCTCAGTTTCATTCACGAACTTATAAAACGGTCGTTTTAGTTCTCAAATTCTACTTTTAGACTCAATTTTATCCCAAAACTATGAAAATGATCATTTCAATCCTCAAATTTTGTATTTTGGGCTCGATTTCATCCGTAAACTATCACAGTGTATTTCAGTCTTTAAAATTTTATTTTCAACTCAACTTTGTCTATTATCCTATGTGGAATGTTGCACGTAGTGAGCGCCAACACTACTAGTGATTGGAGATAGAAAAATAATATTCATCCAGAAACTCATTGGTGGCCATTAATATTTCTAAGTTGTTATTTTTAATGTTACCTTACAGTGGTACTGTTTATATATATATCCAACTAAATGATTTTTGTGAGAGCAATTACAATTACTTCGAACACTATTTAATCTTTAAGAATACATGGATATATTAAAGCAATAGTAGATCTATAATTTTTTCCTTAGTTACTTCTAGAGTTAGGCTCAACTAATAACCATTTGTGTAAAATAATTTTTTATCCACATGATAAAAATAATTCATATTTAAGAATATTTAGATCTATATTTATATTCATCTTAGAATATGAATATAAATGTTGAAAGTGTGCTATCATATTCAGTAGCTACGACGATGCTATGGACAATCGTATCTAACGATGAGTGACCATCTCAATTGTGTTTGGTGGTGGACAAAAGACGAAGTTGAGCCAAAATGCATTTTTGATAATTCATGAATGAAATTATATCTAAAATACAAAGTTTGAGAACTAAAACGATCATCTTCATAGTTTTGGGATGAAATTCAGCCTAAAAGTAGAGTTTAAGGATAAAAACAACCGTTTTGAAAGTTCAGAGATGAAATTGAACCTCGAGTAATAGTTCAAGGACCAAAATGGTTATTCTGCATGGTAAAGGGAACGGAGATTTACGACGTGTTTGATTTACCGGTTGGTTTCATGCAGCGCGGTTCGGTTTCGCGCGAGTCCATCCAATGAATTTTCGGTTCGTGTGATAGGATAGAGTGTATTGCATGACCGTGCCAACATTTTCAGCAACGGATGTACTATACTATATACTATACACTTTTCTATTACATTAGTGCTCAAGAAATGAATAAACGGTGGCCAATTTTTTTAACAAAAATAAAATGACGGTCAACTTCACGTTACAATTACTACAATATTGGTAATACCACACAACATATGTCTGAAATCTTAAAAAAAACGGACGCTCTGCTTCGGGCTTGATCCCTCTACCTGGACCGAATGGCCAGCAGCCCAACCGGTCACTTCACTTATTCCCTCCCTCTCTCTTACACACGGGCCTGAATATTAGCTCCTCTTCTCCTTCCTCCAGACAAAAAATGCAGCCGTTGCCTGGTCGTACGATAGCACATACGCTGCTTCCTCTACCCGCTCCTCTACCCGGCCCACAGCGACTCCCCCACCGCCCACCTCGACAGGCCGCCCCCGCACGCACTGGTCCCCGTCCCCGCACCACCTCGCTGCGTCGCCGTCCCTGTTGCTCCTTGAGGGCATCCTCTCCGACCTCGTCGAGATCTGCGGATCCTTCCAGCCGTCGCGTGTGGCCAGGCGGTCAGGAGTGGGGGTCGTCGCTGGCGGGGCCTAGGCCAGGTGAAGGCGTAGCTGGCCGCTGCC